TCAGCCACACTGAATATTGCAAGTGTTTTTTTTTGTGTAAATCACGTACGTCCAACGGGTATGACCTGTAACAGTCGGTAAACAATGATCACAATTTAGAAAAAAGTCCCTTTCTACCCATCATCATCCACTGTTGCAGGGAATAGGACATACTCAAAGTACGGATATCATGGATGATGAGGGAGTCCCAGATGTTCAACAAGAAAACTCTCTCATCCAATGGATAGTGTAGAAATATAAACGGTGTACCCATTGGCCCAGAGCTGTGAGTGAAATTGATCCGCCATCCTGTCATCCTTACGAAGCCTCCGACATGCAGACATGTCAAGACGAACAAAACTCACTTAAACACAGCAATCTTGCTTCAAGTATGTTCAAAGGTGATATATATTATATATATACTGTATATATGTATTCTGGATCGTTTTAAAACACCTTTGACCTTCCAACGCTGTTTCTTTTCTGCACCACGAAAGGCTGACGTCCCGCCAGGCCCCGGCAGACACCTTCGCCCGCTGGCCTGCTGGAATCCCAGCACCGCCCACGGAGGCGGAGAGCGGAAAACCGGCGGGGACTGACATTGGAGTTATGTAAACTATAATTGATGTGAAAGACACATATGATAAAATCCCGGTCTGGTATTTATCTTTAAATTAGATACAATCTAATTTATAGTAAGAACTATATATATATAGGCCCGGTCCGGTATTTATATATCTTTACATTAGATAAAATCTAATATATAGTAATAACTATATATATAGGCCCGGTCCAGTATTTATATATCTTTACATTAGATAAAATCTAATATATAGTAATAATTATATATATAGGCCCGGTCCAGTATTTATCTTTAAATCAAAAAAATCTAATATATAGTAATTACTATATATAGGCCCTAGGCTTCCAACCACCATAGAGTAAATCCTGACAACAGTCCGCCGCGGGGGTCAATGGAGAACATGTTTAAGACCTTCAGGTTCACTCCCTGGAACTAACATAGAAGTGGATGGCATGACCCCGAAAGGAACATCCCTTTTGGGGGACCCTGGTACAACATGGAGGCTGCCAACATGTTGGATCTTCCAACTATGCAAGATTTCTGCTGAACTTGGCAGGATTTCTGCCGAACTTGGCCGGATTTTCTGCTCTTGGCTGGTTTTATAGATGAACCAGGCGGAGATTTTGCATAGTTGGAAGATCCAGGGATATAGGGTTTCACAATCAATTGGCATTCATTGACATCTCCAGTGTGAGGTTTGGGGAGCCCGTTTCAGCCCGTTTCCATCAGTTTATTCCGTGGGCCAGATGCAAATTTCGAATGTGATTCCCTATATACCCATACTTGATCCTATTGGTGGTTGGTCGACGTGGGGTTATCCCCCTCTATCAAAGAAACGAGTGAAAACATAGCCATATAGATCCATGACCCGAAGCGGTGCCCCCCAAGGGTTGGCTTCGGATTTGTCGTTTTCCAAGGTCCATCGGGGTGGGGACGCGTTCGCGGAGGTATTCGTTGATATTCGTTGGTTGGATTCTTTTCCAGCCCTGAATGACCTGACACTGGATGCCAATCTCCCGGGTGCAAGGCTTCAGGTGTTGAGGTTTTCTTGGTTGGATCAGTGCCCGACTTCGACACTCGCGGCTGAAGCTTCAGATCTTTGGGATGTACCGGAACCTTCCCTCTGGGACAGCGCACTCGCCAGGCCAGAAACCTTTCGTGGTCCATGCACCGCACTCGCCAGGCGCCTGCCGTGGAACTGAAGGAGAAGGCTGTCACCCCGGTGCCGGACAAGGAGCCGGTGGTGATGCCTCCCGTGGTGCCCTGGAAGGCAGGAAGGCATAGCGCCGAAGGCTGTTAGGCTGGTACGATGGGCGGCGTTGGTTGGACCCTCCCCAAAAAGCCAAAGTTCCTCTCAAAGTTGTCATGTCAGATGGGTTCTAGGACGACTTTTAGTAAAGGATCTTGAGGAAGAATCATCATCCTCGTTACATCCAGTGGAGATTACATCCGCTGCAATCATGGAAATGGCATGACCTCCACGATTGATCTTGATGAAATGGAGGGCCGCAAAAGGTTCCAACGTTCCTCGTCAGATGATCCTCATCCCACGTTCCTGCTTGACGGAACTGGACCCTCCGTTCAGATTCCATGGGGCGGACCCGGAGCAGGTTTGGGGTCTCCAATCCCTGGCCGGCTCTTTGTTTGGAACATCTGCATGGTTGAATCGAAGCGATTGGTTCCCGTTTCACGCGAACCACAAGGGTTTAGGGTTGTGTGTGGGCGGGTCGAAGAAAGACAAGTACCGGAAAACATCGGAAAACTGTTTGAGACTGGCACCTGTTACTACGTTCGCTTCTTGTTACTACTAGTAAGGCACTTGTTACTACTAGCGATGCACCTGTTACTACTGTCATTTTGTGATGCTTCATGATTTGTGAAGTCAGCTTTGAGCGGTTTTTTGCCTTCTCAGGCGTGAGAGTGGGCATAGGCAAGCACGGCTGGTTGAGAGACAGACCTTATGGGGACCGTGTAGTGGTACATATATGGGGATAGCCTGTGGGGCTGCTCAACCTCTCTATAGGTAGAATCTAGCCTTGTGCTCCTCCGAGGCACGAATACCCGAGCCTCGCGCGCCTGTACTGCAACGCGCTTTCAGCCGACCACTCAGATGCGAGGGAGCTTGGCGGCGGGAGCTTGTTCACAAATGTTTGCAACTTCATGCTGTGAACAGATGTCTGGGGGTTGTCAGCATCGTCAACACCTGTGAAGCCTGATTGTTGTCAGCACCGCGGATTTCAGGAGGTTCTTGGAGGGAACACGCATATAGGTTCTTGGGTCTCGAAAAACCACCCGAACTCCGTGCCGGATGATCTTTATGCCGAAAAAATGGTTCGTTGAGCTACACAAGGTGCCTTGAACTCGTTTCCAGGAACTCCTGCAGTCCCCAAGTGTTTGGGAGCGAAGCAGAACCAAAAAAACAAAAAGGTGGAGAACATAACTCTTTTCATCTCTTGTCTACCACCCACGCGTGGTCTCTCTTTTTCCGCGTGGTCACGGCCGAGAGGAGCCGCTGGGTTCCTGCGCCAGGTGTGAACAGCGCCATCTTCCGCATCCACTGGACGGTGGACGCCAAGGTCCTCAAATCCTCGGCCGCTCGGAAAGGGAAGTGAAGGACAGAGATGGAAAGGACTTCTCTTTTTCAAACTGGAGAAGAATCTGGGGATGTGATGGGAGGTCTTACAAAAGACAGCGCAAAGAGGAGTCTCAGGATATCTTCAGGTTTCTATATGATGTTCCATGCTTTTTTACGATGTACGGTCAGAGTTGGCAAGTTTGGGCACACCCGGGCACCCCTTTAAGGACGATGCAAAAGTCGCATCGAGTGGAAGAAGGTTCGATGCGAATCGCTACTCCCGTGGTGATCGTAGATGATCAGCCTGAAAACCCCTGCATGGGTAGTAGATGAGAATCGTCTACTACTTCGGGTCTGTTTTCACGGTCCATGTAATAGGGTTCAAGTATGTTCAAGTTCACACAGACGGATGCTAATATTTTTAAGAGGGAGATCCCTGGCTTTTGGATGGTTTCGGATGGTTTTGGTCCATTCTCCTTCTTTCTGAAGGTCTCCCTACTATTTTATACACCCAGATGGACCACATCACGGCAAGGCTTCGTCGTCGCCCCCCCCTCGGGTTTTCTGGGCTCTGCATCGGAGCGCGCCCCGGGGCGAACAGTTGAAGGACCCCGCGGGGGCGAACGGTCTGGGGATGGCGGTCTGTTGCTACCCCTGTTTGTTCGAGACCGGGGCACCTGTAAAACCACACTCGTTGTTTGCGTGTAGAAGTTCATAGAAGTTCGTCTTCGGAAGGCGTTTAGATTTGGACATACTTGCGGTTTGCATGATAAAGGTTGCAAGAGATGCGCGAGGGTCTTAATTGTGATGTTCCTAATTAAGAGACTTCTGCTTGAAATGGACGAATTACTGTATATACATTCATAGATGAATTTGGAAGTGTAGGATAAAGCAGATTGGAAAGGACTAGTATGATATATAATGTCTTATCTGAGGATTTGCTGGCCCAACTCTTGTTTCGGGTGCTATCCTTTTCGCACCAACCACCAAGAACACATAACTGCTGAACACCCTAACCAACCGGTCGGTGCCCGCGCGAAAGATCGCGAAAGTGCAAGAGAAACCCGAGGATCGGGAGAAGGTGTCGCCACCTTTCGAGGTGTCTATGGGGGCAAGTGCTGGCATGTTTTTGCCTGTGCTGCTTAATTGGTTGGTCGTGACACTTCATGGATGGGATGGACAATGATGGACATGTAGATGACCCGGCTCAGATATAGTTTCTCAGATATGGTTTCGCGAAAGATTTACGAAAGATATTTTTTTCCCCCGCGAAGAATGGAATTGAAAGACACCACCCGATGCTGCCGCATTCTCGGGGCTCGATTCTCGGGGCTCGGTCGTTGGTGAAGACCGCATGGGTGTGTAGCTGACGGAGACCGCCCCCTGTGGAGAAACCCTGGGGGAGGGAAGTCGGCCTACCGGGGCGAGGGGTGTCACCCCAACACAGAGACTATACCAGCACCCTCCTGGCCAGGTGCTTCCTGGTGACAACAGGTGCCCAGAAACCACCTGTTAAGGTCTCCAAACAGCCTGGCCAGGAGGGTCCTGGTATGTGGTGGGTTGGGTGGAACCCGGATAGCGCTACAGGACTGGTCGGGCGAACATGGACTGGTTGGAGCCCATGACGACCGCCCAGTCGGGTGTGGATTGAACGGGGGTCAATGTCTGTCACCTGAAGCTTCCAGCTAGGCTATGCACCGTAAAACGGCCTTTTCATCAGTGAAAGCATTCATAAGGCGGAACTTCTGCATGCTTACAAGATCCAGTAGTGTTGAAGCCCATCCTGCTTGGCTGCTTGGCTGGTGTGATCCTTCCCATTTCCAGCTCGAAAAAACGGGCGATCCCGGGCGGATGCCACGGCCGATGCCTCTGCCAAAGGGGGAGGCCATGGGTGGTTTGGACGAGGCCGTGCAGCAATTGGTGGAAGTGCAAAAGCAACAGACGCTTGGAGTGATGGTCAACCAAACGATCCGAAACGCCTGAATACTACTGAAGGAATCCTACACGACAGGGAAAAGCTCTGGAAAACTATGGAAAACGCGGGTTTTTTCGGTTCCAGTTGCTGCTTGCCGTTGCAGCGTGATGATCATGTGAAAGTGAGCTTCAGGATGCTTCAGTTCCTTTTTTTTCCGGTCTCGAAACGAGCGTAGATGCTTCACTGGGCGCGTGAGGAACCACGCGAGGTTTGGCACTCTTCCGGGCTCGGAATGGCTCGACTGGGCGACCTTTTGAAGGCCTCAACGTTTCTCAAATTTTTGGAAGACCGGAGACAGGGAATTCTGCTCAAGATGTGTTCAGTTCTCGAAACGGGATGAGACACATCACATGCAAATATATATCAACAGATTCAACATGTTGTTTTTAGCTTGAAGAACACCATCGACCACCTCAAAGTTGATAGATCAACCACCTGCAAACTGAGCCCAACCGAACCAACCAGAAGAAACAGTTGTGGTTGTAATTCCAACATGGCACCATCTGGAGATCCTCTAGAGCCTCTACATACCTAAGTGCCTGGGAAAACCCATCCATCCATGTTGGGACCACAACTGGGAGTTCCACTCTCCGGCCTAGAACTGGGACTCCACTCTCCAGCACGTAGGGGGGGAGATATCCCGTTTGGGCTTCAGTCGTACAATGTCGTACATCCGTTTTGAGCATGGTTAAGTTATGGTGGGTGCCAGGGGGGTCTAACCACTTTCTGAGGATATGCGCCAGGAGGTGCAGGGTATATCACCCCATAATGGATCCACAAGACCCTCAAAGAGGCTGCCCTGATGCGTTCGATTCGGATCTACTCGGGTTCCGGGTCACGATCCGTGGCAGTGGCACCACTGGCCACCTTGCGGCTCCACCTGGTCACCTGGCCTGTGGTGATTTGGACGGGGAAATCAGGGGGAATTCCCGAAAAAACACCAGGGCCACTTGGCGAGCGGTGGCGTGGTGGGACTGAGGAAAGCTTCCTACGAGAGTCTCGAGCGACTGAGTTTGCAGCATCTTGATGTTGCAGAAATTGGACTCTGATTCTGATCAACTGTGACCGGCTCACTTGTGTCGGTCTCGAGCTATGCTGAAGTATGGATTATTTTTTGGGGTAAAAGAACAGTAGGATGAGTCGGACAAAAGCTTGGAGCAAAATGTGAGCAGCTAGCCCTACATGCTATTGATCTGATGCAATTCTCTTTGTGGCATTGAAGCCAAACAAATCTGAGGCTTTAGGATCCAAGGTCTTTAGCCTGGGCCCAACTGCCTCCAGGCACCGTGAATGGCAAAGCACTGTGGAAGAACTACTTCAGCGTGTGAATCACAGCGTGGACCAGGCGGAGCGCAGCCGTGATCACTTCGCAGGTGCGGACCTGGGGATGCCAGGTGGGCGATCCACGACGTTGTTTTTCTTGATCTTTTGGGGTATACCCAGACACTCATTCTTCATATGATGGAAACATGGATGGAATTGCAGACGAATCACTCTCCTAAGAGCTCGTGCTTCCTGTTGGGATACCCCCGCAACATCGCCCGGACTCGGTGACCCGACAGGGGTCCGGACTCGGTGACGGCCATTGAAATATCGGTGAAGGGCCCGGAGTCTGACCCAGTCGCGACGAATGGGACTGCCAGTCCGGACTGCCTTCAAAACGGCCAGGGGTGGGCCATGAGGGGTCTTTCTGGGGCGGCAGTCCGATGGCAGTGAGGTTTGATCGCGTCTGGGTTACTGTAGGGTGGATCTCTCTTCGGTCGAGACTGTGACACCTTCGACGCCCGGGACACCGACGAGGCGGATCTGAGGGATCTGAGCGAAGACAGATCTGATTGACAAGGGTCGGCAGGTGAAGCGTGAACCAACGGTGAAGCCCAAGTTTGATCTGTCTGACTGAACAGAAATCGTCTGCATCTTTCATCGTCTACGAGGATTAGCTTGGTCTGTTAAGGATGAAATATACCCGACACGAGCCAAGGAGCCCTCCTAGCCTGGTCACCACCGGCCCTGTGGGTCCGAAGGTCCCGGAGGCGCTTGTTGAAAACAGGTCCGGAGGTCCGAAGGTCCAACAGGAGACTGGAGTCACAGAGCTCGGGGTGGTGTGGCTCGTCCCATCCAGGGGCCGTGGATGTGACGATCGGGCGTTCGGCACCCCGTGGGCCACGTGACTGCTGGCTGTGCGTCAAGACCAGTGCGGACCATCGTGAGCATCGTGACATATCGTGCACCACACACTGGTGTCGACTTGTTTCATCTCGATGCAAGGTTCAGACCCGTTGGCTCTGAAGAGACACCGACTCGACGTTCAGACAGACCACGGGGGGTACAACGACACTTTTAGAGATGTGACCTCCGCTTACGAAGCGCTTTCCGCCGAAGTCCGTTCGACCAGTCCAACAGCTCGCGGTTCGGAACCTGGTGTGGTAGTGTAAAATCCTGCTCGTAAAGCAGCTCGGTGGTTCGGGATTCAAACCATTAGACAAGTGGTGGCCGGAAGCCTAGGGTTTGGTGTTTCGGCCAAACTCCATCCTCTTAATAGTCAAGCGTCTGGTGAGGGTCAAGAGGCTTCCATGGCTGCGAACTTGTTCCGCGAATCGCCATCGCGGGCCGCTGGTGCCGCAACTTGTGCCTCTGGTTCCTCTTGCTACTCCTGTTCAGGAGAAGGACAAGGAGTTGAACAAGAATTCTCTCGCGAGATCCTTGTCAAACGTTCGAAGCTGCAACGCGACTGTAGCCTTTTGTTCACTTCTTCTGCAATGGCGTGAAGCGAGCAGATGGATGAAGTGGATGGAAAAAAAGAGAGGTACATCAGGCAGATGGGATCTGGATGTGGCTTCCAAAACTTGACCCAGGTATTTGCAGGTCTTACACTTCCTAAAACAATCATGGAAGCGAACAAAGCACCTGTTTCTGTTTGGTATTCGGATTTCATGGTCATCCAAAAGACCATTCCGTCCACTTCCATGATGATTTCAGGGAGTGTACCTCTTCAATTCTTTAACATCTTCTCTGCGAATGGACTCCACGAAAACGTGCTGATTGAAGATGGAAGAAACTAGGCCACTGAAGCTCCCCGGGCTCGGCCCACTTTTGCCGTTCAGAGAACACCCGGGCTCGGTGTGGAAAATGTTGACATCCTGTCGCCTCCTGGTCGGGAAGGAAGCCAGTGAAGACCACGCCCCGTACACTGCCTTGTGGGATGAAACTGATCCGTACACTAAGAGGCTATAGCAATGAAACTGATCCAATGGTGCTCTCCATGCTGTGGTGCTGGCCCCTCTCAGTGACGCTTCCTTTCTCCTCGCTCCTAGGATCGAGGGAAATAACTTGAAGATGCTGAACGAGGAGGAGAAGAATTTGCAGAGAAGGCCATCAATCTTCAACGAAAGGAGATGGGTCGGGAAACCGATGGGTCCTGGAAGGGCCATCCACCGGCGATGCGCGTGCGCTTGCGCAAGAACCTTGAGTGAAGGTCTTGTAATCATGGTCAACAGCCCAGTCTCAGGGCAGCTCTAGTAATCATGGTAGTATGGCTATAGGGTGTGTCCCAGAAAACCCATCAAAAAGCACAGAACTCGGTCAAGGAGGATCACGATTTTTGGAGCAAGGCCTACCACCCTAATCACCATCATGGTAATGGGATATCCATGGATATACCAGGACCCTCCTGTCGGGGTGTCAATTTATAGCCCCTTAGCCGTTAAAGGGTGTCCATTAACCACCCCTTGAAGGCCCTGGTACCATATATATATATACCGAGATATACCAAACGTATGTGGCCCTTCGTGTTCTTTTTTTCTCATGACATCCACCGAATCCATTGAGTGTGACGCAAGAGTCTTCCGCTGGTTGGATCGTTGAGGCATGATCACATGCGTTGGGCGGGTCAGAAGTTCTCCTTCCTTCAACGTACGAAAGGAAGGCGCCGTCTTTACGCGCCGCACTCGCGTCCGCGCAAAGTCCTCCAGGACTTCAGCCACCTTCAACATCAAGCCCCTGAAGAAGTTGGTCTCGGAAGCCTTAAAGGCGGGGTTCCGGGGCTTCCAAAAAGGAATCGTTTTGGCAGTGGGGCGCCCAGTGGGCTGTGTGCCACGCCCACCACCTTCACTTGGGTCTCGTCCCATTAGGTTCGACCCAAAGCCTCTTGACCGTTGGATGCTTTGACAGGGGGGACGACTGGTGGGGCTCCACCTGAAGTCATGAGTGACATCCTCTAGATTTGATGTCTGAAAGACGGGAGCAACTCCAGCTCCTGTGAGGTGAAGAATTGGGGAGGTGCTCTGCAACAGTCAAAGACAATCGAAAACACTCTCTGAGCAGTCCCTTCAAACATCTAAAGCATCTTCATCAGAGATCTCAGGTCGGGTGTGATGAGAAAGAGATTTCTCACAGACCCTCCAGCTGATCTTTTTGCTTAGGCATTGACCTAAGTTGATCTCCTTTTGCCAGTGCCTCACTACAACATGACCGACGCAGGAGGCGAGCCGCAGTCGTGCCAGCGGTCGTCCGCCAGGGCCTCAGTGAACCGAGGAACAGCGGTGTCGCGCTAACACCGCCGCATCCGATGGGTTCAAGACAAAACTACCCAAGGGTTCCCAAATCCAATTCTACGTTGGTAGAATGTTGCTGCACATTGATGACCGATGTGAGGTTGCGAGGACTGCGGAAGGTTGCTGAGCACATTGTGGCTGCCCATTGGTTTGAGTATGTCACTGGTCTCATCATCTTTGCCAACCTAATCACCGTGGGGATTGAGCTGGAGATGACTTTGACCGTGCCGGAGTTCCAGCAGCTTGGAGAGTTATGTGACATTGTGGCATCCGTCCCCTGGTGACATTTTCGTTGCTCATGTGTTTCTTCTGTGTGTGAGGAAAGCAGTTTGGCCACAAGTCGCAGAGCGCATCTTTCTCTTCATCTACTTTGTTGAGCTGGTTCTGAGCTCCTGAGCTGCAGCTTTTTGTTGTTGTGGATGTTGTGTTGTGTTCTAACGGTCCGCACCTGGTCCGCTCATAGTGGCCCGCCTGTCGGTCCGTGTTGCACGGGATTGAACCCAGGTTTGACGCATGAGGGATGTGTCATAGCTAGACCATACCGGCCCTCTCGGTGTTGTGGATAATGCTACGAAGGGGCCGTACCCTGTACTGGACCTTCAAAACCCGGTATGGTGTTGACGGACCGGTTGGCCCGTTTGGAGCGTCTGGGTGAGGTCAGTGGTGCCCGAAAGATTCGGGACGTTTTCAGGTGCTGGCGCTTCTTCTTTTGATCAGTTAGATGGTGCGAACATGCGTGAACCCAAAACTTGTCACTTTGTTGAGTTCGTCAGTCCATGTTGGACACCTTTCCTTCGCTTTTCGCTCCCCAGTCTCATCCTTCAGCATGGAACTTCCTTCGCATGAGGAAGTTTTGCTGGTGGCATGCAGAACTTGAAGGAGCGATGGCCTTGCGGATCGATCGGTCGGTCAGATGTGGCGCCTTCAGAGAGCCCCTTCAAGAGCTCTTCTACCCAGATGTGAAGCCTGGACCCTCCGTTCACTTGGGGGCCGGACCCGGTTTTCCTCGGTGTCGTTCGTCCGAGGTTTTGAGGGACCCGTCCGTGAACCTGAACGGAGCGGTCTGCGAAGCGAAACACACCCATGTTCCGGCCTTCGATGGAAGACATACCCTTCGATTGGCATCCTCGAATTCAGTGGTTTTGGGGGATCACCCTCTTCAACATGCTCCAGTCTGTTTGTTGATTTCAGAACTTGGAACTCGTCAAACGTAGTATCTGATAGTTGAACTCGGAACTCGTCTCTGCGGCCCTGCTCCATCCCAGAGGATCTGTGGTTTTGGATGGACCTGTTCTTGGTGGCCCTGGGCATTTGGGCCTTGGTGCTCCTCCCGATCGCCGGAGGCCCGGACGGGGGGGTCCGGTTGCCGAAACTCGGTCCGGTGGGTTCTGAGGTCGGAGACCGGGGAGACCTCCGCCTCAGAGTGGTCTCCCGGAGTTCTTCCCATACCTAGGCCCCCGGGCCATGGGGTGTCTAATTAAGGAGTTCGGAAAACAGGTGAAGGGGTCCATTAACCACCCCAAACAGGGGGCCCTGGTACATGCCCACATAGCTCTGGTTCCCAAGGCTCTGGTGAACCAGAGCTGCGAAAGCCAAGATGTCGATTGTAACACGTACATGAGTCAACGATGGGCGACTCGCGTGTGAGGAGCTTGGCGAGTGGTTTGGGAAGATTCGGACCGGACCTCCAACTGCCCAACTGCCATGCGACTGCATATGCGACTGCCAACTCCCTCCTGGCACTCTTGCTGACCCCTGGCACGAATGAAGAGGCTCACTCCGCTCCAAACATCTCTGTTCACAGCCCGACCGGTTCCGAACCAAACCGAGAAAGGGATTGGTGAGAAACCCCACCCCTCCCAAAGGATTCGTCCGACCCCTCTCATGAGGGTCAGCGTTTGGGTCATTAGCTTTTTGGTTGAAATCCAAGCTTTCGTGCAGGGCTTTCTGCAGATAGCTGGCCTTGAGGGACCGAGCGATTGACTGAACATGAACAGTGGAGGTAAACCTTGCAGGGTCAACCCGGCTGCCGAATTTCCACCGCCATCTGCACCGTGGACGATGTGCTCAGCGGACGTGCTCTGACCAGTCGGACGTGCGACGCAGGCACTGACCTTGGCTTCGAACGGCTCTTGGTCTTTCGCGGCCTGCGACTTCTGCGCTTGGTCAGGGCTTTGAGGACGAAAGTGTTCGCACATCGCGTCGCCGAAGCCAGGATCATGTTGGCTCAGGTTGTCTGGGTCTCAAATCAACATTCAGGGACCGATCGGGCGTGTTTCACGGAGCGTTTGAGAAGGAAGCTGATTATAGTCCAAGACTTATACTTAGAACGTCTTGTTATGAGCACGTTCTAAGTCTTAGGGAAAGAACATTCTGACACATGCGTCCGGCACCATGGCTTAGAACGTTGTCCTGAAAAAGGTTGAGAGTGGATGAATCAAAGAATCTGGAGAAGATTATATAAGTGTATATGTAGTATTACCAGTATGTACACACATATATATATATATACAGGTGTGTGTGTCTCATATCCATGTTCTAAGCCTTGCATCCAAGTCATGAGTCCACATGTTCCATTTCTTGAGTCCACATGTTCTAAGAGATGACTAGTACCAATGTTCTAAGTGTAGCTGCAAAGCGGTGTTGGAAAAATATTGATGTTCTAAGTATATGTCTTGACCATAATGGCCCTCACTTACCACGCTTGGTCGAGCATGTAGCATGCATGTACAGAAAGACAGCTGCTTCCAGGATGGTGAACCACTTCAAGATTATGTGGCGCTCCTCGTCTTCGACCTGCGCTAAAAGAAGGGATCCACCTGGAAACGCACAGTCCCAACTAGAATCAAAAGGTTATTCCAATATGGCCATTGAGATCCTATATAGTAAGACGTGATTGGGAATACAGTTTTCAAATGCATCCACTTGTTTCAGATTCTAAGACCCCTGGCATGCTGGGGCTGTTGACACACGTGACAGGATACCAAGCGCAAGCGCTGTCAAAGGCCACGAAAGTCCATGACGTTTTGTTTCCCCTCGGCGTTTGTGTATAGGAAGAACCTGGAGAAAACCAGTCACAACCAGAAGCATCAGAAACCAAGGGATGTTTCTCCAGTCTCAGCCACTTCATTGCCAATAGAACAATGACTGTTGTTTCTGGTAGGGACTGGGTTTTCCAGGAAAGGACACATCAGGATCTGAGACACGTGCCAAACGATGCGGTTCTGTGCCAAACGATGCGGCTTGGCCCCTTGTTCGGTGGGTGACCGACGTGGGTCGCTAACGACTCGTGGCGGACTGGTCGGGCTCACATGGGCGACTGCGCCAAGGTCTCGTCTACGGGCTTCTGACCTGTGGCCAAACCATTTTGTCCACCATGGCAACTTGGTTCCGCAGGGAAGAGGACGAGAAGACGAGAACAAAGGAAAACTCGTCAGCTAGTCACCGTTCATGTGCACTTGTATCACCTAGACCCTGAGTGATCTCTATGTTGGACCGCCAACCTCCAAAAGGTATGGTCTTTTCATATCTTTTCCCTATCAAAGCAGGGGTCACATGGGTTCCAGGCACGCATAAGAATACAGCCTTGAGGCCTTGAGCACCCTGTTTGGTACTAAAGCAGCATTGGATTTGAGGGAAATGCTCCAGAGTCAAAGAACAAACGGAGCCGGTGAACTTCGTGATTGACATATTCCCCCTTCACATGCTGTGTCACAATACCTATGTGCGAGTGGATATGGACAAGTCAAGATGCACCAACGGTAGTTGCGTGTTCATACCATTTCTGTTCATTTCTACTGGGAGTTGTTCTTCCTTGTAATTTCCGCTGTTTTGCTTGGGTGAGTTTTCAATTCTTTGGTAAGCTTCTAGCAAGCTTCTAGCTTTCTGAATCTTTTTGAGCAGGGTGCTGGTGATGCTGTTTGGGCCAATTGCATTTTTAGCATTTTGTATTGGTCAAAGAGGAAGAACGTGGTGTTGTACAGGCCTTTGGGATGGCTTAAGCAGGACTCAGGGATGGTTGAGGCATGGTTTTGTGGAGAGAGCAAAGATTGGGAGTTTGGATTTTGTATGATTGTGTACAAATGTTCTGTCGGGTGTGCACTTAGAAGTTGTTGGAAGGGCCACCCCTGACAACCTGACGATGCCTTACCCTACAAACCGGGTCCTGAAAACCTCACGTCCGTAGTGTTTTTGCATGATCATCACTTCACAAAAATGAGGTCAAACTGACCTGTAGGCTTAAGATATCACCCAGACGTTGGAAACCTCAGATGGAGTAATTGGTCCCGGGATGTCCCGGGTACCAGAAAGAGGGTGTGCTCTCAGCTGGCAGGTGAAGGAAGAAGCCTGAACCCTCGCGGTTTCTCACCCATCCGCAGGTCACCCATCCCCAACCTCGAACGCTCCGTCGCTCGTGTAGCATCCGACTCGTGCTGGGTCTTTCGGACGGTTGTGCCGAGGGTCTTTCGAACCCCAAAGCAGGTACGGCTCGGCGAGACCCACGTCACCTTCGCCTCCTGGGGTCCCCCTCCCCCAAAACTCCCGGGTTGCTTGGATGGGGAGATTGGGGTCCGTCATGGGGCCGGTCAACCGCTCAACGATCCGAACCCGACTTCAGCCGAAGGGGGCCGAAGGTCATTCGGAATTCGGGGCCGATTTCGGGGGTCGTGTTTGGGTACAGAGACAGATCACGTTGGAGTTGGCGATCCATGGAGTTGAAGACGGGGTGCCCCTATCACATCAGCCGGCCCCGGCAATGCGACGAGCCACACCACTCACCGAGCTCTGTGACTGCTGGGAGATTCCTCAAATTCAGAGATTTCTGTGACTTGAGGTCGTTCCAGTTTTGTGAGCATGCATCAGTGGGGGGGGTTTTGATCATAATAGGGGGATACCCCCCGGTCGTGTACAACCAATATATATAATAGGTCAATGGAACGTGGCATGGACTCTGCTCTATTCTTCCCACAAGGACACCACTGGTCTTGTGGGTCCTAGCAAAAGTGTTCAACTGTACAGGAGTGCCTTGACATCTTGGGAATGAGCTGTGTTCTTCTAGACACGGTTCTGTAAGATGCAGGCCCGAAAGGCCTGGGCCTTGCGGAAAACCCACACAATCCTGCCTCCTTTCGCCCGTTGGCGAAGCTGCTTCTCAGCTCCTTGAGCTCCAGGCACTGATCATCATCTCGCTCTTTGTTTTTGCCTGTGCCGTGGTCTCAGTGGTGTCTTGAAATACTGCCAAGAAGATCCAAGAACATCCCAAAAACCAACATTTCATTTTGAAGTGACGCACCAGACGGACACCTACCGCGTATGGCCTCGTCCGTCCACTTCGGCCGGCTCTGGCCACTGCAGAGCTTCCTGCCAGGTGGCTGTGGAATTGATCAGCAAGGACACGGAGCTTTCGAAGGACGAAGGGTTGGCCGAAATGGCTCGGTGTACGGAAAGCGTCCTTGCTCCTAGCCCCGTTCGTAGCTTCTTGTTCGTACCGATGCCAGGAGCCCCGTTTCGTCAGTCACACAAGCGACGTCGACTCCTTCCCCTTTGAGGGATCCACTGCCTCCTCAGAATGTACGAGCCTCCAAGTGACGAACACATCACCCTCGAAAGAGCGGGCTTAGAATTCCTGGGATGAGTCTCATCAGTGCGCTGAGAGAGGGAAGGGTGAGAGGGAGTCGCCCAAGACCAGCAACGCAGCAAGACCAACAAGACCAGGATGTCTGTCTTGTTCGCAGGCGAATGAAGAGGTCGCTGAAATCGTGGAAGTCAACTTTGGTAGTCTAGAGACTTGGCAGAAGAGTCTGGTGAATTGTTTTCGGCGCGAGGTGAATCAGTCTCTTGAGCTAAGGGAAAAACCATTATGACACTCTTTCAGCTGCTTGGAGAAATTGGGTTTCGGATCCCACGCAAGCCTCAAGCTTCAACTGCAGTCAGCCTCTTCACAAGACGTCCGGAATCGTTTCATGACATGAGATTCTTCCATGTGACCGTGAAACAACTGGATCTCGAACAAAGGAAACAAACTGTTTGTTGTCCTGGTTCTTTTGGTCGGAAACACATGGAAACAAGGGAGTTTTCTTTTAAAACCAACCAACCTCACTTCGTGGGACAAAAGACGCAGCTTGACCCCATCGCCAGCGCTTTTCGCCGCATCCTGCCTGGCCCACCGGTTCCGTGCTCTTGGCCCTTGGCGTGCATCTTCCGACCCCCGATCGCCTCGCCGTGCGTGGGGAACCTTCCCTGGGGGCGGCGAGCTTGCGTATCGGAGGTTTGTGACGCTGGACTCGATCTCCGCGATCTACTTCCCGCTGATTACGGCCAAGGTGCCGGAGACACCGGTCGATCTCGCGGGGACACGGCGTTCGGTATCACGACTGGAGGGCGGATGAAATGTCAAGGAGGATTTGAGACCCAAGATAGGAGCAGTGCCGTTCGGTGGACATGGCTCACAAAATAACGCTGATAATCACGAATAACAATCATCGAGTCGATAATATAATATTATATATAGTTGTATATAGTTCTTGTCCTCTTACCCGTGGAGAGCAAGCTCTCTTTCCACCGTCTGAACATCTCCAAACCATTTCTTTCTCTTTTTCTTTACCAGGGGTCACATGTCGGGGTGCTTTTGAGTCCCATCCAGTGGGTGGGTAATGGGCACCCCTAACCTCCATGGATCGCACCCTGTCTTGAAACGTTTGAAACTCCTGGTACACCGTGACCTTCTTTGGGGGTTGACTTCATCGTCCATCCATGGCGACGTGACCATGCGCCGTGACCACGCGCTTTCTGGCAGCCCTTTCTGGTGCTCGTGTTCTTACCCATCTTGGTGGTGGTCTCCATTGGCCTTATGAATCTGGTGACTGCAGCAGCTTGGCACCCGTGGCTTTTTTCCAACACCCATTCGAATAAACACAACTTGGCTCATTGGTCTATCCGAAAACTACATTTCGTGAGTGATGGTCTCATGTTTTGATATTTATTTGTATACAACAAACACACATACAGAAATTGGGAAAGCAATATTACTTTCTAACAGTTCTTTTGTTCAGTGTTGCAGTGCGCGACTGAGGCCTTAGTGGAGAATGCAATGGCGAATGCGACAGCGCAGGCAGAGGAGGAGACTTCGTCGCTGCAACTCGTGGGGGTTCCTTGAAATCCAGTCCCAACCAGAAACAGGTTCTGGTTGTTCCTGTCCATGGCTTGCTTGAGATCCTTTACACACAGAGGAAGAGGCTGGGACTGTGGCTGGGACTGGAGAATTCCATTCAGACATGGAGACCTGGAACGGAACGAACGGTTTCTCCAGGTCACGAGACGAGCTGTTTCGGGGCTGGGAACGGCCCCTTCTTGCGCATTCAGGAGAGGAACAGCTTGAAGAAGCAGCTGCAGATTGCCTTGCCCTCCCTGATTGATCTCTTTCACGAACTGGACTCCAGGGTGTTGAAACAGCCATCAAAACTTGGTTTGAGATATTGCATGAGAATGCAAGATATACTTCCTTGCCACATTGCCCCCCTTTTTCTTTCGCCAGGATGAAGATGGGAGCGGGATGCTGACCGAAGAGGACTTTTCTCCTGTTTTGTGATTTTGATGCGATCGCCGAAGGTCATGTAGACTCTTCAATGAATCAAACCGCCCTCATTTTGGATTGGAAATTGGAACACTTCTGAAGAGGCTTGGTGGCTTGGGGGGTGCAAGCCACTTAATAAGACAGTCTACAGAGTCTACAGAGTCTGCACCTCGTGTTCAACACCGGACCTCCTCCTCGGCAGCGAGCCTGGCCTCCTCCTCTCGGCCTCAGGAGCTCTCCAAGGTCTCCGCCGACATCCTGCCACCAAGGATCTTGGAATCGTCCTTTGCCGAGGACGCGCTTGACGCGGTTGACGCGGTTGACGCGGAACGGCATCTTCTCAGCGCGCAGCTCGCGCGCGTTTGGGCGGCACGTGGTCACCAAACACGGATGGACCCGTATGGGTGATCGAAGCAAGAGATCTGGCGCAACATGGAAAGCACCGTGTTCTTTTTCTGTTTCTCATGTGAACAATGTGGACGAGCCCCAGAAGGGTCGTTTCAGCCTCACCCTGTTGTAGGTCGCCGTGTCAGATCGAAATCGGTCGGTCGTTTCGGCTCATCCGGGTGAGCCGAGGGGCCAAGGGAGGGGGGGCCGAGCCGTTGAGTCAGACAACTGGCCTGGCCACGCCTGGCGTATTCGTCAGCTTGAACTCAGCCGGCTGATGGCAGAATCCGATGAAGCGAAAGGTGGGGGGGACCCAACTTCAGTGATTTTGGAACGCCACTGGTTGATGGTGATGGCTTGGGTGATGACTTGAACGTTGGACCAGTGGAGGCTTTGAACTGACCGCATGTGCGACTGAGGCTTGACATGTTATAATACCCCAGGAACCGGTTTTTCACTGAGGCTTGGCGTGTTTCATGAGGCTGTTAGTTCATACGTTCCATTTCCCGAGTGTATGCCTGGAGCTTGTCACTTCTAGCTGGAGACAGAGCAGTCCATCGCGGAGGGAGTGGGCTTGTGCCAAAGGAGAATACAGTATTAAGATTTGACGACATGGACGGAGCTTCAGTAGCCTTAGCAGCCTGCAGTGGGCGTAGTAGCCAGTCAGAAATGGCAAGAGTAGGCCGCAGTGGCCGTAGTCAATTGAAGGTCGGGACTGACCTGGCCTTAAATGCGCTGTAACAGCACTGTGCTTAAACCAAGCAGGTCTTCCCCAGGTTGTTCGGATATAGGTGGCCCTTAGCTTGCGTGTGCGCCCCGTACGATATAACTACAGGTGGCCCAGGTTTTGGCAGGTTTGGCTCATCGGTTGTCTCTGTGCACTTGTTTTTTTTCCATCCAACGCAACCACATGACATGTTGTCTTGTCTCCTTTTTGGTCTCTTTTGTCCCTCAGTCGGAGCATCAGTCGGAGCCAGTCGGGGCTCTCGACCATCTTTCGCCTCCCTTCGGGTTAAAACGACCCGGACGGCAGTGAAGATGGATTTGAGAGACCGACCTTCCCCATAACTCTGCGTCGTTGTGGTCGCATTCTTTTCTTATTTTTTTCACGATCGATGTCTGCTGTAGAATGCTGTGCAGGAGACACCTGCGACTGAATGAATGGTGCTGAAATGTCTTTCTTCTTTTTCTGCTTGTACCTCGACCTTCATTCAGAGACGAAGCCTGGAATACGACGATGTTGTGTTCGTTTTTAGGCTTGATCGTGGTGCACAATGGTGTCGGGAACATGTGACGTTGTAATTTGTATTTTGTTCATGTTCCTAGGTCCTAGGTCTTTTCATCGCATTTGGAAGAGGAACTAAGATGAGAGCACTCTTAGGGCTTACAGGGGGCTCTGTTGAAATGATGTTGTTTGACTGGTGTTCATTGATGGGGGCTCTGTGATTGACTGGTGTTGATGAGTAAGACATGTGTTTTCTGAAGAGCGAAGACTGCGAGCGATGATCTTTTTTTGATCCAACTCAATACTTTGAATGGTTCTTTGTATCACCTCTTTTTAGTTTTCCTTTATTTCTTTTCTTGTCTTTAACTCGTTGCCTCGATCCCTCAGAGGTTCCTTAGTTCACTGTCTATGTAATTTCCCTTTGCTTCTCACGGATCCGTCAGAGTATTTTATTGATCCACTTTATGGTAACAGGGACGGAAAGCGGCAGCAATGAATTTGATAGGAGACTCACAGCAAGAGTTTTATTCCCTGCTTGCAAGCATTCAGTTCCGTTTCATGTCACAGCACGTTGGCCGGTGTTTTGAAGATTCAGGGTTTCAGATTTGCGTGAGATGGGGCGATTTCAGCCTCTGCAGTGAGGAGGCGCAGCACGAGTTCTTCTTTTTGACCTCCCGGTTCAAGTAAATAGTTTGCCTCGCGACTGAAGGGCAGAAATTGCTCGAAGCAAATACCTCCGCCTGAATAGAACATCCTGCTCGCTCTGAATTGTCCTTCTGTATTTCTCGGCGCAGTCAGGGAATGGTTTCCTTGAGTGCAAATACTTCGGCGGGATATTTTCATTTGACTCTTTCTTTCCCTGAGCTCCTCAAGGATGTCAGAGTCCAGGCCTAACTGCACCGTACTGACTGAGAGGGCCGTGCAGCAGGGATAAATACTTCAGTGTATTCAATGTATCAAAGCAAAATTAGAATCCGATGTGAGTACAACGAACTGTGATTTTGCACGTGCTCGCAGTCAGACACAGACGCGACTGCATCACGCTGCGTGCAGTCAGGGCTCGGTTCACTCCGCCAGCGGAGTTTGCGGATGAGGTGAATTCCTGAACCCCCGCGGAGTCAGCTCCAGCCACGAAGTCAGGGTTTATAAAAGAAGAGTCGGACCTAGGGGACCTCTGGCATTCACAAGAAGGCATAGTATTGTCTTCGGACCTATATTATATTTATTGTACAATGTACACACATAGTTGTTAGTTATATACATATATTCCTAAGGAGCAGCCTGCGCCTGCAGGACACACTTGGATTGTTGCCGGAAGATCATTGTTGACCGGCTTTTTAGTGCAGCAGGGATAATAAATTAGGTGTATTAGGACAAAGATGTTGTCTGATTTGAGTACAATGAACCGAGCTTCGCTGCGACTTCGTTGCAGGACATGGGGGACCTTTTCCATTATTTGGATGTGGATGGCACTGGGACCCTCAGCCAAACGGAATTTATCGAAGGAATCTTGGCGCAACTGGTGTGGGGAAGATGGGACTTGAGACCTTGAGCGGCTCAGGATGTTTCTTTGGGGCTCTGTGTTTCAACATTTGGGAGTGGCTGAACAATCGGATGTCGGATATCCTTCTTTTTCCCTGCGCTCAAAGTGACAGATGCCTGCGGTCAAAAAACGTTTTTATCTCTGGAACTTGTTCACAGTTGCAGAGTCTCTCCTTCTTGCACTTGCTCTTCAGTTACTCAGTTTCAGTCACCTTTGTCCCACTTTGCAACACAGCCTCCCTGAAACAATCATGGAAGTGGAAAACAGTCTGTTCGTAGAGGAAAACCGTCTTCCAGACTCGGGGCCATGCAATCCACTTCCATCTTGGTCGGAGGGTGAGGTGACACATGTTCTTCCAGGACGATTGAAGTTTCCTCAGAACCCCCC